ACATATCCGAAAATTTCCTCCTCATTAAATAAATGATTGTTATATTTATTATTTAACATTCTCAATCAACATTAAGACAATATCCAACAATGATTTATTTCCCATCGAGTTCATTTGATGAAAGTTTCAAATTATTGAATCTTCAATGTGATAAACCTATTGATCAAATTGAAGGTTATTTTAATTAAATTAAAAACAAAAACCCACATCCACACCCTCACATTTCAATGTTATGGAAGTTAATCTCCTACTGCGTATGTTAATAAAAATTATTTAAAATTTTCATATATATATTATATTGATTTAATATAGTGGAATGGATAGATATGGTAGAATATGAAATCGTTTGAACAGGTCGTTGTATTATGGTTTTTGAAGGTCATCTTAAACCAGTATTAACTAAATTGATTTTTCACCAAATGGATTTGTTAAAATAAAAACATTTATTTACTTATTATTTTCATATCATTTCGATATAATCAATCAACTGATTCTGAAGATAATTTCTGTAAAATTTGGGATTTATGTCAGGATTAAAAATGTTTATAGTGTTGCTGCTCATCAAAATTTAGTTTAAATTGTTTAATTTCAACGTATATTTTTAAGTTTAAAAAAAATCTGATTAGACAAGGTTTTGTTATTTTTTTTGTTTTAGGTACTGAAGGACATTAATATGAATAAAGTTAACTATAACATTAAAGAATCAAAGGAGTGAAGACGTTTTAGATATGATTCGATCCAATTCGAAGACAATGGCTGTTTTATCAGAAAATTTCAGCGATTTTACTGCCTATATTTTAAGTTATTTCTGTAAGTTTGAGCTTGCTCAGTTGAAGTTTCAGTTCACTTTGATGGTCCATTAGGTAAGTACCTTTTTTTTACGAAACTGGATAAAAATGGGTGACCATCATCACTCATTTTTATCATGAACTTACGATCTTTTTATGGTCAATTTCTATACCATTCGATAGAAAATTTGATTCTAAACAAAACTATTCAAATGGATCGAAGTTAAAATGTAGGTATAATGATATAACGTCCAAAACACCTCCCCAAGGGGATCTGTCAGATGAATAATGGGAAAATGGTCATTAAAATGCATATAGGTTTGTTTTTCAAGCATTTTATGATCGCCGAGTCTATTTTTAGCATTTCTAGGCTAAATCAAGCATATTTTTAGTTTTTAAAAACTATACAATTCACTAGTCTCTTATAATCTAATCTAATCTTCATATTTCGTACAAAAGTGAAGAATATAGTTCAAAGTTTGAACTAAAAGTCGATGAAAATTTTCGATCGTGATAAAGTTAAGCTCAAAATTAATGATAATAGCTTATAGTTTCTGCATGATTTTTAATAGTGAATCGGTATTTCTCGAATCAGGAAGAATCGTACTCTTCATAACAGCTACTGCGTTCACAAGTCTTTGCTTGAACATTAAATGACTATAGTTGAAAATAGCATAGTCTTTTCTCTAAAGACAGTCAATTGTATTATTGTCGAGTCGATGCGTTATGCGTCCTAAGAAAGGGGCCTAGAACTCTTTGTTTTAAAGGATGAAAAACGAAAGTGATCGAAATTGAGGAACCCAACTGTAGAGTCGGTTTTCAGATTTGATTTTTTCTTGATCAAAAAACGAACTAATTAGAAATGACTTTTTTCCTCGAATCAAGCGATGATCATATGAAAAACAATGAGTTTGTGATTTTGCAATAATGTGAAGATTAACGTACTTATATATGTTAACATTATTACAGGTACAATAATCTGAGTAGCATCAAATATATATGAAGGTTTTTACACCGCCAGTTCATCAAATCAAACGGTTTTGATCTTTGGATATGGGTCGGTCAAGCTTTATTTGGATAGCAGTTATTTAATGTGTTTCTCTTTCTTTCCTTACTAGATGATTTCCTAAGGAAGGGTTAATGTGTAATTCACACATTTTCTGTAATACTAATGTTCAATCAGTGGTTTTTTTAGATCGTGTGCGTTTGACCTTAACTGATGAGTTGCATCAGTCAGATTTATTGTAAATGGTTCTATCTAAGTGTGGTTCTTGAAGTAGATATTTACCAAAGAGAAATATAATGCATATTATTGCAATCATACAAAAAAAGCATTCAGAGTCTCACCAACATTCGAATTCGTGCCGAGAAGCACTTCTGAAACTCAAAGCTTCGTTTTAATCGATCCTACATTAACAGTATTTAAGTCTACACTCATTATATTTGATTCTGGCTATATGTTCAATTCTTCGGATTTATTTCAGGAATTCTCACTCGTATTATTTCTATATAGTCAGTATAACTCGAAAAAGATAGTATAATTATATATTTGTTAATAAGGTCACAACCTTTATGGTACATGTAGAATAAGCAAATATTGTGGGTGTGGATATAATATTCTATTCACTTATACTCACACACACACACACAGCCACATCCATCTACCCTCTATGATGAAAATGAAACAATAAAAAAGAATGAATATTTGTTTGTGAAATCTCGATTGAATTAATATTGAATATATTCTCTCTTATTATTGTGGATTTAATTTGAAATCAAACGTATATCATCCAAAACTAAACAAAAAAACAATAATATAGAAATTTTTTTTGTTTTAAACAAACATCATCATCATCAACATCGAGTGATATAATTGTTCTTAATTATATTAATATTATTTATTGAAAATTTCTTAAAATTTAAATAATAAATATTTTTTCTACTAAATGTTTTGATAATCTTCTAAAGATAAAGTATTATTTATATCGAAAGATTTATTAAAAACAAATCTTTAACTAATTAATAGATTATTTTATCTATTAAAAATGAATATAATAGAAAAGAATTTAAAAATAATATGAACTTTATCTTGTGTATTATATTTATTAAACAATAATCAACATATTCAAATAAATATTGAATAATAAATTTTATTCGAATTTTCTATATATTAGAAAAATAAATAATAGATATTAAACTTACTCTATTTATTGAAGATCTATTCGTTTAATTAACTGAAAATAAACAAGAAAAATTTTAGAAATAAAATCATCTTGATTATAATCAATATATTTTCATTCAACTTTTCTTTATATATTCAACAATAATCTTTTACACGAATCATTTTATTTTTAGAAAAACAATTAATTATAAGAAAGCAAACACTTGCTTTTTACTTTCTTCTCTCTTAGCAACTCTCGAAGAAGTTTTATTCTAATCATTAAAACCTTTTTGTTCTGTTTGAAAGACTGTTTTAACCTGCAATAGTTTCTTTTAAAGTAACTATCGTTATTATTATATATAAAAAAAACAACATTCGTTTAAATAAATGAACATTTTTGGTACTCTTTCCTATCGAAATATAGTTGTAGTGCACTGCTTTATTACCATAAAGAGATAGAGAAATGAGTATTATCGTAAGTAAAGTGGGGAGAGGGAGAAAAGAAAAAACTTCGACGAACATTATCTCGACAGTCTTACGAACAAAAACACAGAAAGACAAGTTATATAGATAGATCGACATGACAATTTATTTTTATCTCTCCAACTCGTCACTCATTTGAGAAAAAAAAAGAATTTCTAATAATAGTATTACAAAGTCTTGAACATAATGGAAATCGAACCTACACATATATATTAAAACTTTTCTCGTTAGTTGACTTTTTTTCTACGTAAAACAAAAAATTTGTTTGAAGAGATTGTTTACTTTGAATAAAGCCAGCAATAACTGATCTATCACAAAAACCGGATCGCTTTTATTGGTAAATCGCGGTTAATCGCCAATTTTTTCCCGATTTTTCATCGCATAGAAATAATTAGTACGAATAATTGTCGGTGTGGGTATTGTTGAAGACAACCAGCTGAATAACACCCACAGACGCATACGTTTAGTTCACAATATCTCTGGGTGTTCTTATGAAATGGCCTTGAATAGAACGAGCTACATTATTTTATCTCTGATAAACAAATGCGAGCGAGAAAAAAAAAGACATGTTGCATCCTAATCATCTTATCTGTTGATCTGACAATATTTTTCTTTTTTTGTTTGCTACAATTATCAGGACAGAGAAAAGCGACAGGCCAGGTACTTTGTCACAACGACCGCGTTCGTGAGTTTTTAATAGTTCAGTCTCAAATCCCTTCCCCTCCCTCTGGACAACACAGACTGATTAGCTCAAATCGAATGTTCTCTACATATCAACTCATATTTCAATATATCGAAGGTTTTTGTGCAAGGACTGTTTTATTTCTGCAGAATATATACGATAGATAAGTAACAAGATTCTTCATCGCCGTTTACATCGTTTCATAGTCTGATCTATGCATCAATTTTTATTCGTTAGATGACAACAGTCGAGCAATTGAAAAAAGTTGGTCATGTGGTAATGAGTTTCGCCACCATTCTTCGGTCATATTATTCCATTATTGGATCTTGGCAAACGTTTATCTGTGCATCATCATGCTACTTATATTGTATCGGCATCGAAACTTGATGGAATTAAACAGCGTGGATTTCTCGTCGATAATGAAAACAACCCAACGAACGATTCCACTCGATCTGAAATCGAATTCATCGGCATATTTGATAATAACGATAGTGACTATGAAGTATGTTCAATTTGATACAGGAATATTGAACTATACAATAAAACAGTACTTTTTAAGATATCCAATTGAAAAGAAAGCGTACACATTGATCTAGTAGCCGTAATCGATCGAATGCGTGAACCTCTTAAACAGCTACTCTTTCCTAAACCTGGTACCTCGTTTTCAACTTCGATGCTATCGACTCGACCGATCGATCGTCCTATTGACTTGATCATTTCCGATATGTTTATTCATATGCCGATTCTGGATGCTTCTGAAAGAGATATAATTGCTCATGTTTTCGTGCCAAGCAGTCTCATAGCTCTCACGGGCTTCATCAGCAGTTCGAAGGGCGAGATTATAGCTATGTTGGATCGGAATTTTTCGTGCACAGTTCTCGAAGCAATGTCGCTTGCTAACGGACTTATTTGCAATTCGACCGATCAATTAGATCAAAAAATCGTTGATGAATTACGTCAACAATCGATTCCTCGTTCCGATTTGCCAATTCGTTTTTTAGCACCGCTCATGCCAGACGAACAGGAAGACAAGCACAATGTCAGAATTTGTTTTATTTTCACCATTCATTTTTATACTCATTTAGGTGAAGACTATCGCACGTGTCAAACAATGGTTAGATAGACAATGGAAATTAGCAAATGAATCACCGTCGGTTATTTATGTTGCCTTCGGTTCCGTTGCTTGTATGATGTCCGATCAACTCATTCAAATTGCTCATGCTCTCGCGCCATATCCAATTGTCTGGTTATTGAAAGCAAAATGTCACAATGATTTGCCATCGTCGTTTGCTGATAATGAAAAATATTTACTTCTCGATTGGGCACCATAACGATTCATTCTTTCGCATCCAGTCGTACGTCTCTTTATATCACACGGTGGCTGGAATAGTTTACTCGAGACAATGTTAGTAGGAAAGCCAACACTCGTATGACCCTTGTTTGCCGAACAGACTATCAATGGACATCGTGTTGAACACGAATTTGGTTTTGGTCGATGGATGAAAAATACTTATTTTATCGAAAATCAACGAATTCTATCAAGCGATGAATTGAAACAATATATAAAACAAATGTTTGATCAAGAAACAGAACATATTGAAAAAGCTCAACAAGCACGACAAATGATGATACAAGCAAGAGAGAATAGGTCGCGACTCTATTTCGAGGAGATTATCAAGATAATCGATGATCGAGTGACCGTTCGAACAGCGAAACATGATAAACCTTGATGAAATTTTAATGGAACGAGAAAATTAACTCTAATGTTGACTTATAAAATTATTATAGGTCACTGAATACGAGAATGGTGCGCTAAATATTCAGGATGAGTGTGAATGTAAATATGGACCAGAATTGTCACCTCATCAAGCTTGAAAAGTAGAAAGTTTCTCTAGAAACAATCCGAAAAATAGCGAAAACTTCTAATGTGTGAGTGTAGACGTAGAAGTCGGTGTAAAATGGAGAAATGAGTATCGATGTATGAGTGTTGATGTGGATCGGTGTCCCCTGTGAAAATATCAACATTCATACCTAATTTCTTCGTCTTCTTTCAAAAGTATCAGTTTTGGTTTTCACATAACTATATTCATCTGACTGTAGCATTAGTATTAATGCTATTATATTTTCATGATTTTTGTCATCTTCATTTACTCTGTTGATACCACATTTGATCACAAAAGAATTTTTAGATTTTCAGATTTGCCACTATTTTGTTTGAAAAAAAATTACACAAAATAAGTAGATAAACAGAGTTTACTATTAATTGAAAGCAGTCTCTCTTTCATCGACAACCTTTTTATGTTCTTACAATGAATTATCAGTTCAATCAATAAGAATAATAGAAAACTCTACATGTCAGTAAGAGCGATTTATTTAATAAGAATAGGTTTTCTTCTCTATCGAATTTGATACATGAAAAAAAAGTTTCGATTTCAAAAAGCGAAATACGTGACAATCCTGGTATGGGAGTAGGTGTTCCTGTAAAGAAGAGTGATCGTACTTTTCAACAACATTCACACACACTCCAACTTGTCTGTTCTACCATCAGGATGGCATTATCTGAAATTCATTGACAAAAATTTATAAGTAACTATTTTTCATAGAATATTGAAAAACATTGAAATAATGAGATGGAATAGCAGTTATTTTGAATCATTTAATTAAAAGAATAAGTGATAAATATAAGATGAGACGAGATGAGATGAGAATAGAAATTTTAGAATTTTGTTTATTATATCATTTAATTCTCTAGAATTCTTGTTCGATAAAATAGATAAACATAAATTGACACAAAATGAGCAGCTAAATGAATATATAGATGTCTCATATAAATTCCAATATATACGTTTAATTAGTAGAAAACGATCGTTGAATATTAGTGGAATTGGTGACGAGTAAAATACAAGATAATAATCACTTTCAATAGATACATCTACAGAGAATCAATTAGAATAAATACGAATAGATGATAATGTCAGATTAATCGCTGTATTTAACGACAAAGTATATCATCTGAAGAGATTTACTGGTAAGTTTTCATTTGGTGAAGAATAATAAGGTTAAAATCATTATGAATATTGTTGACTCCTACTACTGAAATGGAACATTGTGTAGTAATCCATACACCACTAGAAGCATTCGATCCTTTATGAAAAAACAAAACTAGACAAGATAACTCGCTTTCAATGTTGAGCATATTTAGTATTTTTTGTTATTGTTTGGTTGGCATCATAATTGAACATTGTGCATTCTTGAAAACTTGTTCTATTATCAGAGATATTATTCCTACTAGGATTTGAGATGAATATTTTCCCAGATAAAAATCTATCAGTCTATTATATAATCTAGATATACTTTTTTTATTTAAATATTCGACTTTTTTTTAAATGAACTTGATTTGAGATTTCTTTGACAAATGGATATATATATATATATATATATATCATTTGATTAATATCATTTTGACAATAATTCAATATAATATTGTTAGTATAAAATATTCCGTTCAAGTGACCTTATTGTTATTAAATATGTCTGTTTGTTAATCATTGCTTATGTGGTATTATTTGCTGTTATTTTAAATAGTAAACAAATCTACTTTTGTATTATGCTAGACGAATAATTCGAAGAAATTTAAAACTCATAAGAATTATTTGAGTTTTACATGTATGAAAATCAGAAGATGTTATCATTGGTATATAGATTTTTGCAGCTTCTTCTGTAGTATGGCTTAATGATTCAGTTTGATTTCGATACTGATCAGATCTGTTCATTTGAGCAATTATGGATTAATTAATCTGAATGTGGATTTCTAGCGATGATTACTTAACATTGTACTCATTCTATTTATTGAACTATTAAAGATCAGGTACGGAATAAATTATGTGCCTCACACGGAAATATATTGAATGAGAGTAAACATGTAATTTCCTGTCAATAAATAAACGAATTGTGTTCGATCATTATCAATTGATTATGTTTTTTTAAGGATGTCAATGTTAAAATATTATTTCTTAAATTCATTGAGAAAAATTCATAGAATTTAAATCTATTTAATATGAGATAAATATTTGACGAGTTAACTTCTAAAAGTATAAAAATAAGAAATCGTTCTCGATTTCGTTAATATTATTTTAAATCAATAAATTGACATTGACATATTCTAGTCTATTATGTCAATAATCTATCGTAGAATTTCATCAGAATATATTTCAAAAACGATAGATATACATTAAAAAAAACCACATTGAACAATAAATTCAAAGACGAATGAACTTATTTATTAAAATTTAATTAAAAAAAATAAATTAAATATTTGATTTGATAGGTGAAAAAGTTAATTGATGATTTCGTCTAAAAGCTTGAACAGCTGTTGAAAGTGTAGGTGATTTAATTGATCCTATTTTAAGATCATCAATTAAGATTTGTGGTGTAAGAGAACGTGGAATAAGAACAAGTCGAACTAATAATGAAAAAGCAGCTTGACCATTTTTATCCATAATAATAAATTGTTCCAAATAAAATGCTTTATCATCCCATCCATTAATACGTGTTAGGATTTGAAATTTATCACCTAATTCAATAGGTTGACGATATTGAACTTGTAATGCACTAACAACAATAGTTGAATTTTTCATATATTTTTTCTTACGTTGAATAATAGCATTCCATAAACCTGTTTCAATTAAATAAGAATAACGACCAAAATCACATTCACGTAAATATCTTGAATTATTCATATGAAAATTTAAATCAAGATCATTTGGCCAACAACGACCATTAATTACTGATTGAGAAAATATATTTTTATACTTTTTATTTCCTTTATATCTCCAAAGTAATACGAATACACGAATAGCATATCCTATATCAAACATTTTATTATATCTTTCATTTCATTTCATCTATCTATACATTAAAATTAAATATAAATTTCATTGATTATTAGCAATGACCAATAGATAAGGAAGAGGTCGCATTTCAACTCAACTCAACTCAACAAACAGGAGAATAACAACCATCCACTTATCGATCGATGATATTATTAAGGAAACAAAGATAAAGTTAGCTCGAAAATCGATATTTTAATCAGATATGAAATTGAGAGAATATTTGTCAACTCTTTCTTAAAGATTCGAATGATAACCAATGAAAAAAAGCAAACAATATTTTATTTTTCTCTCATTCAACTGATTAAAACACCGATCTTCTTATAGATGATAATAGGAGTTTTATCGAAATTTTATTTTCATTAAATTCTACGTGAAAAAATGTCGACCGTTCATATCATCGAATAATCAATCTCATAAAAGTATAAAAAGACATGAGAAGAATTTTCACTAATTTGAACGGCTTTTCAAGTTAAAATACATAAAATAATGTTGAGTGAGGTATAATTTAAAATAAATGTCGATATTAGAATTAATAATCGAATTGATTAGTTTTTTAATAAATTAAATTAGGTTAGTAAATTCAATCTGTTCTCTTGATTTTTTTAACGATTTCTATTGTATAATAAAATCTCAATATATAACTACGAAAAGTTCAAAGTTACAAATATTAAACTTTAAATATTGTTTAATTATAATTTATCTTATTATGATAGACTCGTTTTATCAATTGAGATAATATTGAATTAACTTATTATTTGAAATAAAAACAAAAGTCAGTTAAATTATAAGAAGATGTTGCCGTTAATGTTTGTTAATATGATATTCTAGTTAATATTTTGTTAAAATAAATATATTAGAAATAAATATAATAATATATTATATTAGAAAAGTGAAAGACTAATGTTTGTTTGTCGATGAATGTTTTAATATAAGTGAATTAGTGAAACTGTTAATAGAATAAATAAATTAATTTTTTGTCGAAATAGTTGTTTAATCGATAAATTCGAACAATAATATAGATAGAGAGAATTTATATTTATTTTAAATATTATCTTTATTCACATTGAAATTCTTATTTATAATGTTAAGATTTGCACGAATAATTATTAATTATTGATTAAATTATCTCTGATTAAATCATTTTACTAGTTTAGTTTTTTTCTCTCTTATAAGATCAAATTCAAAATAATAAATGAATATTTAATTTAGTTTAATTAGATTTTTCCATGAAAATATTTTATGAATTTGTTTTTGTTTTTGTTTTTTATTAGTGAAAAGTGTATAAAATAATTGATAAATCATTTTATTTTCTATGATTGAGTAGTAATTATGATGAAGAATGATTTTCTAACGAATATTTTTATTAATTGTTCGATAAAATTCTATAAATTGATGTTTTTATCGTCAATAAAAATCAAAGTTAATTGAATATGTTATAT